AGAATTAAATTATCAACGTTTTCTCTATTTTCTTGTAAACTATACAAAAACTAAAATATAATAAATAAAACTACATAATAGAAGACGTGAGACTTGTGAGAGGTGTGCTCAAACTGCAATGATTTTTACAATTAAAATTTGTGATTTTATAATTTTGCGAAAAATTAGAAGTGGTACCAAATCAAAAACAAAAATAACCATAAGATTAAGGCTGATAGGTAATCCGAATATTCAGGAAATACGGGGTTTTCTTGGAAAGCGTATTTAATCAACAAGTGCCAAAAAAATCTGTAAACTTAATAGATTGAAATTAGATAACTGCATACTCCAGCGGACATATAGCAGCAGAGAATGTTCTCTTGATACGTGTGCAAGACGTCAATTTAAGTTAACAAGCGAAAAATTCATATATATATATATATATATATAACAGCATTTTCCTATCCAAAAATACATCAAGAAAATTATTTTCCTAAATTATCGTGAAATTTCAATACGGACATTTTGTCAGCCCATTCGAATTTAACATGCAACAGAATTAACCTAACAGAAACGTCTTTTATTTTTTTCATTTCATTTTATAGATAGTTTACAGAAAAGTCTTATATTCAAGCACTTTAGTTCACAGGATCGAATCTGACCAATAAAGGTATTCTCGTCTAGATACATTGATTTATAATTTTGTTTATCAAGCAAAAAGCGCGGATCACAGACAGATGTATATATACATGATAACGTAAACTTCAAAAACTTTTTAATCAATAGTCTACACTGTCTGACTTTGATGAAAAGTGCAATTAGATTTGAGCAACTTGCGCTTTTGAAACAATTTGGGTATATTTGCCAAGCACCAAATACTCTAAACTTATTTTAAAGGTCAAAACTAAGAGACTTCTGCTTTATAGTATGTACGTACATAGGTATATTTGTTTGCATTTCCCTGTATAGAAGAATACTTTATCCGCGTTGTTTTATGTTCAATTACTCTGCTTTATGTAGTGGGTTGCACACAAAAAAAATGTGCAAATTGGATATATCTAAAACTTAAATAAGTAACGTTCATTATTTAACTAATAAACACGGATAGTCTTGCGAGGTTTCAAAAGACTTGTTCAGCATTCTATTGGGGGTACGATGGACTTGCAAATATGAGGGCAAATTGCACATACAGTTTGCCTCGTTACATCAAAAACCGCTAACCCAATTAATAGGTTCGCTTATAAATATAATAGAAACTATATTTCTAAATTCTCTCTTAACAAAATTTTCAAAGTTGTCGAGGACCATACAAAAAAGCAAATGCGCAAACCGAGGTTTTAATCCCTACACCCCAATTAACACATGTGTTAAGGGTATATTAAATTGTAAGGGTGTATAGAACATCCAGCTTAATGTTTCAGGTCCAGTTATTACGTTAAATTCAGAATTCTGCTCTATCGATCTAGGCAAGTTCCGTGTTGACTGTCTGATTTCGGTGAAAAGGTTTAATGTTTTGTGAGGAAAATTGGTCTGTAATAGTAGGGCATATAAATTAACTATAGCAAATTCGGGCAGCGTAGGTCTATTCTTTTGGCCACAATCCCCGAACAGTGCTTTCATATGGCAACAAGATACGTCTGTTGCTATTTAATAACGAAAATAAATGAATTGTTTCAGACAATGACGTGTAGGGTTTTTATTTGTTAGCCTTTTCCGACTGTAATCTTTCTGCTTGCGCAAATTATACAACTATTTTTGAGGTTTTACCAATTCGTAGTAAAATGACTGTATCCTTCAAAGATTAGTGGCGGGTGCTGGAAATTCGGACCAGGAAGAGTGCACATATAATATAGTCTTATCCTTATCTACAGAAGTTTTTTCTTGATAACATGAGGGCTAGCTTTATATGCGAAATTTCAGTTCCATTTTATTTATTTTTTTCTTTGAAACGCTCACTTGAAATTTTTTGCAAGTTTTTATACCTTAAAATCGTTAGCGTTGATTGGTGTATTTGAAATGCAAATTGATGTAAGAATTGTATGTGTAATGTCTATGGTAAATAAAATCGTAGCCCCAGAAATTAAAATAAAGACTACAAATTGGGCAAAACCATTCGAAATTCTTGCACAGAGCTTGGTATTGAAAATAAACCAAACCGGATTAAGGAGACGCCTCTAATGCGACGTAAAGTGAGAACACCTCTGACTTCAAAAAGTAAAAGATTGCTTTTCGCTCACTGCTCACAAACTACAGCAGATGAAAATTTGCATTTATATTTTATTAAAATAGAAATAATCAACTTCGCTCACCCAATATTATAAAGTACGAAAATTTAGATTTTCACTTTTGTCCTCTCTAAGAGGACCACGGTATAAAAAATTCGGCAATAACTAAATATAATATTCTTATTTCTTTTAATTGTCTACCTTTCTCGCTCGTTCATTGGATTTGTGTTACCAAAGTTACGTTATACTTTAAATTCATTGTGTCGTAACATCGTCACCTTCTTCTTTCATATAATAAAAGAAGCGTTCAAGACAACGTTCTAAATAATTACTTTAATATCTACATCTATCAAAGATGTACAGATTATCTGTAGGTAATCGATATATTATGATCTTTTGAGAAATTTAACCAATGTTTGCTTCCGTGGATTTAGGGCCATTTATTTTTTTGACGAAGATCAAAAATTTTCAGATAAAAACTCACTGCGTACATTCATATGCCTTATTTAAAACTATTTGCATTTGCATTTCGTAGATGTGAGTCTCCTAGGAATTATTGGTATCGTATATGCTTTTGGTATAATTCTGTTAACCTTTTTAGGTTTTTAAATAGTGAATGTAACTTAAACATATTGGCTGGAATTACACACATTTAAGATAATTATTTTCAGTTAACCTTCTAGATCGGCTGGTATTTATGCACATTTTCATTTTCGCTATAGTCCATTTATTGCTTAAAATCATAAGAAAGCATTCCTATGGAAACGCAGTTTTAGATAGCCATAGCCTTTTTCCTTAGACGAACCCTTGCCAGATTCATTGTTTATAACTTTATAATCTGCGTCTTTCAAAAGAAAAAAAAAACCTTCAATTCAGAGGATAGATGAACAGTTGTTAATTCAATATATGCTTCGTCGCTAGTTACACATTTTTCAGTTTCGGCTACATGAATGGGTGAACTGTTATTGTGCAAAAAAAATTGGCTTTGCAATCCACATCGGTGGTTAGATGTAGTTAAATAACAATGTATGTCATTAGGTTTTTAGCTAAACAATTGCCAGTTTTGCAGGCTTAAAGTGATTGAAAAGAAATTTTATAATAACTTGATAAAGAAGAAAAAAAATTGTGAAAATAAGTGTTCAAAGCATCAATGTCGTAGGAAAGAGTTGTAAATTTTGGACTTAATATAATTAAAGCGACATATTTACATTTTTAATGGAAGAACTTAATTCCTTGAGGTATGAATCATTGTATGCTTTGAAGAGATCGTATAGGGTATTACACGTATTAAAAACGTTAAAAGACAGTGTTTTTTTAAGTTAAGTACTAAATGCTCAGGCGGTTCTTTTGTGTTGCATATTTCACGTTTGTTACTTGGTGAGGATCCACACTGCATGTAATGACATTGGTAATTAGCGGCACTATTTATGGTTTCCGATTTTTTATAATTCTCACAACTTGTAATCTGGTTGAATCCATTTTCCCTTTGAAATACATAATGCATATATACGTATACATTGCAGAACTAGCGTGAAAGAGATATTTTGTAGACTATTTGTCCAAAAGTTATCTACATAATTTTTCTTTATTCTTAATAAAGAATTGTTTTAATTATTGAGGTTTATTTTAACTTTCTACAAATTTTTATGTTTCTAAATGATCGAAGATCGTTCCATAATTCTAATATTAACTTATCAAGTCTCGAATAGTAATGCCAAAAGATTTCCGACTAAACATTGCCCGCTTAAAAGCTGATTAAAATATTTTTTTTCGTTCGAGTATTCTCACTAACTTCACAAGAAATAAATAAATACTTATTGGTAATAAACTAAAAATTTTTATTAAAAAGTTAAAAATCGAAATCACATTTAATTGATCCATATCGTCGTTTTTTTCAATTGTGGAGTGAAAATTTCAACTTCGGAGTCCAAATGAATCTTTTCTACATATTTGACAGGTCGCAGTGCTAAAAACCTGGTAGCATCTAAGAGGACATAATACGTTTTTAAGTAGTTTCACGTAAAAATATCTGTTTCCTGAATTATTTAAGCTTTTTACTCGAACCTTTGCGACAGTTGATATACTTGTTTAAGTCATTGTCTTTTGCTAATTAGTCGATAGTTTTAGTTTACGACTTTGGGTTATATGGTTCTTCCCTATGGACGATAGTAAAACAAGTATCCTTCATCTTCTATTGTCTGAAGTTAGAATATTCACCATTTAGTAGTTTTACAACTTCCTTCATTTTTACCGCGACTGCAAATTAGCTTGATTGGTCTTCACGATTTGGTATATACGCACTCAATTAATGATCTTGGTCAAGGTTGACGTCAGTAAAATAATAGACTTGACGTGGCTACCAGTAACAAGACTTTGAAGTGTACATCTTGTAGGATATATTAATCCAAATAGAATTAATGTCTGATAAAATATTTACGATTATCATGTATTTATTGTAGAGTGATGAGCGCGAAAAATTCGCCCTTAGACAAATAACACGTTGCTACTTGTTTTATTTCGTCAACATTGATGGTGAGTGGTTAGGAAAATTATGCCAAAATTTAAACTTGCTCTCCGAAGTTCGAACAAGGGTTACCTTGCTGATCAATTTTAGCGACTTTCAGAATTCTCTTAGAACGACGAGCGGACATTCATAGCTTTTGATTTATAATCTCAATCTCAATTGATATTGATAGGTACCTTTAAGCGTTTGGGGCATTGTAAATGGAGTTGCAGTATTCGGTAATCTTTTTTAAGGTGCATGACAATAAATGTTTGTATCGGACAATGTTACAGATCTTCTTGCTTCATCGATTCATCGAAAAGTGGTGTAACGACATTTGGCAATATATAAATAAATATACATTAGTTTCCTTAACATTAAATTAATTTTAGCAAGTGTATAAAAATGCTTTGAATTGTCGCTTCAAAGATCTTAAATTGCAATTCGAAGGTTGGAATAAATAATAGTAAAATATTATTGGCAACAATAGTAATAAGCGTGGTAGTAAAAACAATAAAAGTAATAATAATAAAAGTAATATTGATAAAAACAATAGTAATAATATTTAAAACAAGGGGTAAAATTTGAAAAACTTTTGTGTGTCTCATAAGATCCTAAGAACTAATTGGAAAGCAGTAGGGGATTTTATCAAACATCGATTAATGCTCTCCCCCAATAACTGTCATAAAAGCGGAAGCGAGAGACTAGTATACAGGCAAAAGATTTTACAAATTTAAGACGCAGGCGCACAATGCTAGCAGCGAATTTGCCAGTATGCCAATATGCTGGAATGGTAAGTATAAGAACTCATTAAACTTGGTTCTTTACTATTATCGGGTTGATTTAATGTTTTAGCCCGGTCAAAGCAACAATAATAGCACTGCTGGATCCAATCACAACAGTAATACAAGCACAAATAACAATAACGCGAGTAGTAGTAATCTTAGCTCCAACAGCAACGGGAATCAAAATACGAGTAATTGCCACAACAATAACAACAGCGTCAGCAACAGTGCAAATCATTCAAGTAGTTCGAATAATAATAATAATAACACTTGCCCTGTTGGCAATGGTGGTAATGCAAATACCCACATTGGCTTAGTGGGCGGTGGAACGTCGGCAGCAGCAGCAAAAAATCAATTGGAGCAGTTGAATACAATGCGGGAAGCCTTGTTTTCTCAGGATGGTTGGGGATGCCAGCATGTAAATCAGGATACAAATTGGGAAGTGCCAAGTTCTCCAGAACCAACAAATAAGGATCCTTCAGGTCCACCTCTTTGGAAACCTACTATAAATAATGGTACAGATTTGTGGGAATCAAATCTACGGAATGGAGGTCAACCAACTTCCCAGCCGGTTCAAAAGACACCGTGGGGTCATACGCCATCCACAAATTTGGGTGGCACGTGGGGGGAGGATGATGATGGGCCAGAAACAAGCAATGTATGGACTGGTGGTCCAGGAAATGCTTCAGCTAACTCAGTCGTTAGTGTTGGAGTGCCTGGTGTGACTTCTAATGCTGGAGGGCCAACAAATGGTTCGCAGTGGGGTCAGGGAACAGCTAGTGTAGCGGCTTCCGGACAAGGCGCAATCGCAGCACCGGGTAATATTCCTAATGTAGCATCCGGAGGTAAGTGGTACTGAAACCATGTAATGGTAGCCCTTTTGAATCAAAAAGTTAGATTTTATTCCTATATGCAGAACGACAATTAGCTATTGTAATAAAAAAAATTTTTGACTTTTATTTCTTATGTTAACATTTATAGGTAATGCAAATGCAATAGGAGTTACTGTTCCTGGTACTACTAGCATTGCTGCTGGTTCTGCTGCTGGCAACGGTTGGGGAGATTTGCGTGGTGGTCCTATGGGTGGACCATTAGATATGCGCAGTGTTGATCCTCGAGATCCTATGCGTGCTACGTCTGCCGGGGATCCTCGTGACTTAAGGATGCTGGACCCACGAGATCCTATACGTGGTGATCCACGAGGGATATCAGGTCGTCTTAACGGTACATCTGAAATGTGGGGTCAGCATCACCCTATTACTCATAATCAAATAACAAACTTAAATAAAATGGTAGGACCAACGGTTGGAGGAAGTTCCGGCGTAGGTGCTGCAGTTGTCGCTGGAGCCGGTGGCATCGGAGGTCCTGGAGTAGGCGCAATTAACCCACCGAGCGGCGTAACAACCAATGTTGTGGGGTCGCAATGGGGCACTCCGCAGTCGGTAGTGGGACCAAAAGATTTAACAGCGATTACGTCAAAACCGCCGCCAGGGACAGGTTGGGAAGAGCCCTCACCACCACCACAAAGACGCAATTTGCCTAACTATGACGACGGTACCTCTCTATGGGGTCAACAATCCCGTGTACCTGGAGGTGGATCTCATTGGAAGGATGTATCAGATCCGCGTAATCATATAATACGAACTACTATAGGAGGTCAAAATCCTACTAATGCTAATGTAGTATCTGGTTTAGGGGGTGGAACAAGTGGTGGCAATAACGCTAGTAATATCGCGCCTTCTGTTGTAGCTGCTGTAAATGCGAATAATCCTATGGGGGTTAGTTTAGGTCCGCCAGGTCGTTTGGTTGCTGGTGTTGGTGGACCTGGGAGCGTTGGCGTTAATATTAATAGCAACCAGCACAAGCCTGATAACACTATATGGACTCATCCTGGTGGACCGAATGTGGCTAGCGGTGTCGTTCGCAATCCACCAGGCGCTTGGGCTGATGATAGTAATCATAATGTTGTTGGTTCAGCGGCAAATACACCAAATTGGTCTGATGATAAATCAAATCCACCTGGCGGGGGAATAGGACAGATAGGTGGTGCTAATGTAAACAACTCAACCGCTTGGAATGACCAACCTACTGGTTCTTGGAGCAAAGGAAATCCGACCAAATTACCTGGTGCCAGCGGATGGGGTGTTACGACCCCCAGCGTTACGGGTGCTAATGATGCCAATGACTTAAATCCTGCCGATTGGAGCAGTGCGGCACATAATAGTATTATGGGTAAATCCCAACAACAAAAAATTAATCCAGTCAGCATAGCTGGCATGAATAATGAGTTAAAGCAAAGTAAACAGTTTCGCATTTTAGTGGATGCAGGTTTCAAAAAGGAAGATGTTGAAAGAGCTTTGATAAATACAAACATGAATATTGAAGAAGCAACTGAAATTTTGCGGGCGAATATGTCAATAGGTATAGATAATTGGAGACGACATGATGATTCGCTCGGCTCTTATGCCGATCACGGTAACGCGAGTAATGCTAGTTTTCCGGGTCGTTATGCAGCTCAGGGAACGCAACCTACAATGTCATTCCCTCCGGTAAAATTGTTCTGGATCTGTGTACCTATATTTGCTATTAATAATTAGTATCGTTTCCCAACAGAGCAATCTTCTTAACACCATGGGTGGGACTGCCATAGGTGCTGGCAGCAACAACCCTAACTTAAATGCGCTCAATTCAATGCAACCATTACAAGTGCAAAAGTACCTCACTCAAAGTCCGCATAGCTTAACTGGTGGTCCTCAATCAGTGAATGCTGGCGCCGTAGCCTTTGGACAAGGTGCAAATGTAGCAGCTGTAAACGCCACTGTGTCGAATAGTACTAATCAACCTTCTACTCAACAATTGCGAATGTTAGTGCAACAGATACAATTGGCCGTGCATAATGGTTATCTCTCAAGCCAAATATTAAATCAGCCTCTAGCACCTGCGACTCTTCTACTTCTCAATCAATTACTTAGTAATATTAAGGTACATATATATATATATATATATATATATGTATATATATATGTATATATATAATGTTTAGTATGTAATATATAATTGATATTTTAGCACCTGCAAGGAGCTCAACAATCATTACGTGGGGGTAACAATGCCAACACTTTAGTTGCAATTGCCAAGTATAAGCAACAGATACAAAGTTTGCAAAACCAAATAAATGCACAACAGGCAATATATATAAAACAACAGCAACAACAACAGGCATTACAGCAAACTCAACATCCTCCAGCTCATATTAATAACACAAGCACAGAGTATTTAAGAGGTCACGATGCCATAAATGCCCTACAAGGGAATTTTTCGGAAATGAGCTTAAGCAAGGTAACATTTAAAAATGTACGTGTGAATACATAAGTGAATTGTTATTCAAATGTTTAAGCGTTATATCTCTAATCACAATAATCCTGTTTTTAGTCGGCTAGTTATCAGCCCGCACCTAATCCACAATCCAGACTAAACCAGTGGAAACTTCCCGCTTTAGAGAAGGATATCACAGTAGATAGCACCGATTTTTCTCGTGCACCTGGTGCGACTAAGCAAAACCTACCAACAAATAATGCAAATAATATGGGACCTTTAGGCTTACAAGGCGATGGGTAAGCTAGTATATTTATATTGAATAAATACATCATTTTTATGTCGAAAGCATACGCAAGTATATGATAAAAATCTTTTTATCCATTTGTATCAAAAGAGGTATTAGAGTACATATATTCTTGTCAATAGCTACAGGTTTCAAGTAGTTTTAAATACATGCGAACATCTGTTTTCCTATATTTGGTGGAATTTTCATAGCCACAACAATTAACATAATGAGGAGTATCTTTGGCAATATGTGTTCAGGCGAATTTCATAGATCATACATGAAACATAAAAACAATAAGTTAAAAGAAGCTTAAAAGCTAAGTTGTCTTGATTGCTATTCTTATTAACAGAGACTAATAACAGCAGCGGTTAAATTGGTCCTTGCAATTCACGTAACAAAGATAAGTGAACCTCATGTATCAACACACCGCCACACTTTCCATGTGGAATAATTTATATAATATTTTGTTACAAATTCATTTTTCTTCTGTAATATTTTAAATTATGTCCTACATACATCTATCCAAACTATTTATTGCTACGAATCTAGTTTTAAAAGTGGATAGCATGGATAGTTTGTAGATATATGTAGATAAAGCGCATAAGCTGCTTCGGCTACGGTATACGCAATCATTTCTCTCGCATACATATCTTGTTTTTACTTTAGGACCTGGTCTACAGGACGTAGTATTAATGATGGATGGCCTGATCCCACGAATGATAGTGAGAATAAAGACTGGTCAGTTGGACAATCTTCAACTGCTGCGGCAACATACACAGATTTGGTACAGGAATTTGAGCCTGGCAAACCTTGGAAGGTAATAACGAGAAACGTAATTAAAGAGCTATAACCTTAAAAATAACAATTAGGCAAAACGACAATTGTTAATATTAAACAAATTCTTGTGTAGTTATGTACTATATTATTCTCGCTCAATAGTTCTGCTTTTTAACAAAAAAAACAGATTTTTTTAAAACATATAAGCACAGCGTCGAGGAATGAAACGAAACAGATACAAAGTTTTCCTTACGCAGAAAGAAACTCCGTAAAAAAAAATTGAGGATTTACAAATTTTCATTACATTCTCCAATTTACGAGTTTATTGCGGAGAAACGTTGTGTAATTCGTTCCGTTTCTTATATATTTATGTCATATAACATAAAATTTTTATATAATATATCTCATTTAAGGGTCCACAGATAAAAAGTATTGAAGATGACCCAAGTATAACTCCTGGTAGTGTTGCGAGGTCCCCGTTGTCTATCAATCCGACGCCAAAAGATGCTGATCTTTTTGCTAATGCAAGCAAAAATTCCCCGACTGATTTGCCATCATTAGGATTAACAACCTCGTCAACGTGGAGTTTTAATCCTTCAACAAGCAATCAGAACTTTCCAAGGTAGCTATAAGAATTTTTTTTCTTTGTTAAAATCTCAAGATATGTACTTTGCTTCAATCAGTTGGTCTGATAATTCACAACCCGAATTATGGACATCCATGAATAAATCTCGTGGTCCTCCTCCCGGCTTAGCTGCAAGTAAATCTGCTGTCGTAAGCGGAGTTCCCACGGTATCAAATCCCTCATCAGTGATTGGTGGTAATTCAAATGGTTGGCTAGGAGGCCGTGGCTCCGGTGGATGGTCAGGGACAAATTCAAGCTGGAACTCTAATTGGCTACTGCTTAAAAATCTAACCGCACAGGTATGCGAACTCCAGAAACACATGATCATGTTGGATTTTATGCCCACCACTGTTCTCTCATTTTTCAAACTATAAATCAGATCTTTTGTCGATTGAAGGTTCTAAGTAGCACTTTCCACGTTCCCATCGTTACATCTATCACAAGATCTCTCAGTTTAGGACTATCGCAAGTTCTTGCAACGTCTTATGTGGTGTAGACAGCTCCATAAACTTAATGCACCCTTATGCCGCAAATGATGTAGGATATAGAAACGTAAAGCGGAAAATATCGTTATGGCTAATTTACATGCTAATGGAGATATCGGTCTAACTCTGGGCAATTCATGTCACTATAGAGACAATATTTGCTAGTCTTCGTAGAAATCAATCATTCAATCATAAATTTTTACTTCTTTTCTTTAGTATTGTCGAAAAACTACAGCTGCTCCAAGTTAGTAAAGTAAAAATAATACTAATGTAATTTTTTGGGTTCTCTAAGAGGGAAATAAGTTCGAAAAGCTGAGTTTGCTTCGACTAGGCCATCGATCACAAGGATTTAATGGTAGTTAACAGTGTGTTTGGTTCTGCATTCAGAAAAGTATTTGTCCACTACCACGGCCAGTGGTCTGAAAGGTTCTTCTTCAGTGATTGATAATTTGTCAATCATTTCAAAAGGCCCTGATTGTTTTTCTTGTTAAACAAAAGAACCATACTAGAATGTTTAAGATAAGCGAGTAGTTCAGATTAATGGACGGCTTGGATGAATTTCTCTAAAAGCTTTTGACAACAATAATTCATCATAAAAGCAAGAGGTATGTAGTCATCGCGCCTTAGACTGAAAATTCTTGTGCTTAGTTTTAGTGACCAGACTTCACAACGGCTACTATAACCATAAACAGATCATGTGGCGTCTGTCAGATAATATTGTATACCGAAATTTCAGTTTCTTCGAGTTTTTTTTAAGATAAGGGTGGTGGAACTCTAATTTTCTGGTAAGGCTACGGTTTTATGAATATCATGCCCATGTTTATCTTGGTAAATTTTTCTAAAACAGCAAGAAAATGTGTCGAACGTCTGAAAATAAAGAATATGTCTTATATTTTATGTTTATTTAGCCATATCCTTTTAGGTGTTATTTGGATGCTCAAATTAAAGAAGTTAAATGTAGAGATAGGAACTTACACGTAACATATACATTTCACATACACAAAATTTAGTTTTCAGCAATGGATACAATAGGTCCTAAAATATTTTTATAACAATGAGAATACATAGAAATTATGAAAACAATATAACTTACGAACATTTTCGGTTTGCTACTTTTTGCCTGCCTTTTTTTGCTTCATACGTCCTGCGAATATGTTTTTAAAATTTACTTTTTGTCTCTTGCACCGTGCGGATAATCCATCTGTTACGGCCAATACAATTGATCTTTTCACGCTATGTACGCAAGGAATCCATTTTTTAGTTATCACCAAAAAGATAAAAGCCTCGCTCGAGCACCAGTCACTAAATGAAGTCAGTGTAAATCAGAACAAGTACCTACTACAAGATACCTGACCAACATATCGTGGAGGATAACAAATTCCATTTCAATGCTGCTAATGTTTTGTAAGCGTGTTTTGCAATTTGAGACCGAACACCGTCAGACTAAAAATTCGTTGTATAACTTTTGGCATATGGTGTCCATTATTTGCGTTAATTTTATAAGTTGTCGTTGACGGCAAGATTATATTTAGGTGGAATAAACTGTGATCATACACCACACCGAGCTGACTTGTCATGGGGCTGCCATAGATATTCGTTTTCATCATCGATGTGAATATCTTGTTTAGCTTACAAGATATTTATCTGAATATCGTAACACATTCATTGCTCATCATTCTACAGGAAAAGTTAAGTTTCCTGCTTATGGCATTTTTCTTGGCTCGTCTAAAGCTCTTAAAAAGTGCGTTCCGTACTTGTTTCGAGATGACCTATACTTTTGAATAAAGTTAAAAGAAGCGATTTTAAGTTTATGCAATTTGAATGGGAATGCCCAAATAACAGAATTTCGGCATAATCTAACGTAACGAATTTGCATTACACGGGCTAACTTTTTGGAGCACAATCCACAACAACCTTTCTTACGACAAGAAAGCCTTTGCATGACCACAAGGTTTAATTTTTAGTATTGAAAATCAGTCCAAAACAGCGATTTCACGTAAACACTTACTAGGCTAAGTTCGACTGCTGCTTTTTTACTTGTTATTAAGTGTGCATGCGTCTTTGAACAAGTTTAAATGATTTTTAAATTTAATCTGATGGGCAGAGTAGGAAAGAAATTAATACTGAATTTCCATTTTTAGACGACATTTTGTTGAAGTTGTAATTACGATTTCAGTGGGGCTAAATTCCGCTATTCACACTTTTCAAGAAAACTCAACTGTGCAAGAGATTTTTGTGTATTACGGGAAAAAAATTTGGCAACCATAGAGCATAGAGCGATAAAAACAATTTGATCGTTTGGGGTCTATCGTGAAAAATCTAATATGCGTCCTGCAAAAGCCTTATAAGCTGTTCTGAAATTAAAATAAACATGGTCATTTATTGACTTTTACCGAAATTATACGTAAATAGTAAAAGACATGTAACAAAATTATATTTGGCTGGGGTCGAATTTTTTACCCTTCAGTTTACTAAAATGTATTGTTAAGAAAAAATTAATCCACCAAGTCATGATGAGCGCCATAATTATCTTAACATTAACGCATTTTTGGGCAAATTATATATCTTAATTTGAGGAAAGTATAAAATAATTTTGAAATTTCCGTTTTATTTACCTTATGCTTAATAAGCATAAAACCTCAGAAAAGTAAATAAACGAAAATTTAATCATTTATACCTTGGTGTGAACATAGCCGATTTTCTCCATCTTTGCACATACATGTCAGAGTTTCCGTAAAGTAAATGTGAAGAATCTCAGCATTCTATCTTTCATCTTTCTATCTTCTGCATATTTTTCGTTAGGAAAACGGAGCTGACCGACTTATCTCATTTTCAATACCAACCTGCGTGTAGAAAGTTCTAATGCTTCTACCAAATTTGAAATGGATATCTTCATATTTGCGACCAGGAGAGTGTCAACAACACATAGAGGGCCTGTGACTGGATCGATTCAGAATTTGATAAAGAATATATACACTTTATAGAGTCTCTAAATATTAAGTGCTGCAGTCATCATGGCAAAATGAGTTTATCCCTATCAGGTGGTGTGCATAATAGAACACATCAATATGTAAAATCTTTTTCGAAACAATACTTTCTAGTCTGTGCGTTACAAACTATAGTGTACCTGTAGCATCGTTAGAGAGAATATCAGAGAAAAACCCACGCAGCCATTAACATGAGACACCATTAGAATGTACTTTTTTGAAAAGTGCTGTATAGTTTCGAACGCACTTTGTAAAATTAAAATAACTTATTTTTACGCCGGTCAACAAAGACGACGTACGTGTTATTATAATATATTATTTATTAATTCGACATACGCAGATGAATCCTTCAATGTGTTATTCTCCAAGGACGGGGACAACTTTTCGTATATAATGGTTTCTGCCCGTATAAATGCAATGTTTTTTACTGAAAGTTGACGAAAATGTAGTAATTTTTTACGGCATTTATACCATTTGGACTGGAAAAATGCATATATAAGTTAAATTGTTACAAATGCTGTGCAAATTATTATATTTAGATACTTAGAGGCTCGAAAATGGCAGAAGAAGTTAATATGATATTTTTCCGGCGATTACTCTATGCACACTTAGCTAAATATAGCCTTGACACAGTACAGAATTTAAAAAAAAATTCTTGAAGTAATATTTTGTTGCAATTTTTCTAACTTTATATATTTTTTGCTTTTAGATTGATAGCTCAACATTACGTACCTTATGCATGCAGCATGGACCGCTGTTAAGATTTCATTTGTATTTAAATCAGGGAATTGCCTTATGTAAATATGCAACCCGTGAGGAAGCCAGTAAAGCACAAATGACTTTAAATAATTGCTTTTTGGGTAATACTACAATATGCGCAGAGTCACCCAGCGAGAATGAGGTTGATAGTATATTGCATCACTTGCCGCAAAGTAATAGTGGCGTCACTTCATCTGGAGGTAATGGTGGTAATGGGGCGGGCGTAAACAACGGTGGAAACAATGTTGTAAATGTAGGCACAAGTGGTGGAAATAGTAGTAGTACGGGCAGTAGTGGAAACAATTGCGCCACTAGTGCATCAGTCAATGCAGTTAATGGTGCAACTAGCGTTGGTAGCAATAATCCGAACAACGTTACGCAAACAGCTGTTGGTAGTGGCAACGTTGGTGGCACCGGATCAAATTGTGGTCCCGGTCAAAGTAGCGCTGGCCACAATAGCAATCCTAATAATCCAGGCCAAAACAATGCAGGAGCTGGCACAAATGCCAACAGTTCCGCTTGGCGGCAGCAAGTCCAGAATGCAACAAATCAAAATCGACCGACCGGCCGCGATGACTTTGAATTTATTTCTCAGTATGTTTGTTCAATAGTGGATGACTAGATAAGGCTTAAAGAGCATCGTATAGGACAGCATTCTATAAAAAATTTTTACATATAAGACAAACAAAAAAGGAAAGAAAAATACACAATTTATTAAACCCAGCGACAAAAAGACTGTTTTGCGACAAGCTCTTTTATATCCAAATGAAAGGGTTACAAACTGTTCCCATCCTGTAACACTATTAGTAATTGCGAAAACCCAAACAATTAGAAAACAATACGAACAAATACATAATATACAAACAAATGTATTAAAGCATAAATATCTTGACGGAAAGTAAAATAGTGAAACTGTGTACGTAAAAAGAGTTGTAAGTGTAAGACAAATGAAGTGGTCACATTTCGAAAAAGGAGAACGGAAATATTTTGTTAGTTGTTAGCGTAATGTATATAAAATTTTTCGATGCGACAGTTCATCATTCATTCATTGTTAGAAACTTTTATAATTGAAAGTGTGCAAACTTGTTCGGTTTTTTCTGTCATTTTTATTTCGTTTTACGTCTCTGATTATTAAATAGTAAACAGAGCAAGGCAGTAGGCGCATATATCTTCGCTGAAAATATAGGAATGTAATGGTTGCGATTCACTTTATAAAGCGGCAAAAAGAAAATCATGGCAAAATAACCTATGTTATTTATTTTTCTAAGATGTTCGTTTTTATAGCCCAAAGACAAAATTTTCATTACCGTCTTACCTTCCTCTTTCATATACTTCTTAGTTTTACTAGCGGTGGGTGAATTATCTGAAGATCATCTATAATAACTTTTTTTTAGCTCGGTACATTTTTTTAACTATGTAGTACGATATATTACTCATTTTGTGATTTTATCAAAACCCATTAAAAGTTTTTATTATAACATAAACTAAATATTGATTTGATTTAGCGATGATAATTTGAATTGTTTAAAAATCTATAAATAAAATAAAGAACAATATATACCACGGATTTGCAAAGAATAAGTTACTTTTATTTCAGTCGATTAAATTAAACTTTAATGTAATGTTTTCTTTTTGTTGTACTATAATTTATAAACCACGAAACCAATTTAATTTACAGTTACTAACTGAATGGTGTTTAAAAAAGATTTGTAATTTATTAATCATACCAAATGAACTAACTTGTGCTTATAACTAAACGGTTGTAAGTTATCCAAGGTTAAAAATTTGATAACAGAGAAGTCGTAGATTGCTACGGAGTTACAACTTTTGTCGCTGGGATTGTATTTGCTTACAGAAGATGTAGATTTACTTATATTAGAATTGTACCAAATACAAATGAAAATCTAATTATTTATCGTGTTATATCTGCTTAAACTAAGTGGTTGGATAACTGAAAAAGATTTGCGCTCCTTCTGTTTAGACACTACTCATGGATACTGATTTTATGTATGTATATATTTAAATGTATTGCTATATATAATGAATTGTGTATTTGTGTACATAGACACACTCGTAACTTGTCTGCCTCCTAAAAATTTAGTTCTTTTTTAGCAAATAATCAATGACAGATGCTGTGCGAAAGTCCTTTTTTTTTTAAATAAATTGGATTTGAAGAAAGACTTTTCATTTGTAGCAACTCTCAACAATAAATTATTGAAAAATAAACACTTGGCAACAAAGCTGTAAATGAAAAACCTTTATCGTGTTCGCAATTCAAATTTTTAGCCCCACACGTAAAGGCGTAACATGCATCCATCTTTGAAACATTGCTAGATCATTCATAATCAAGCAATGAAGAAAACATAACGATTAATAACTATATGGCCTGAATGCATAAAAAGAATCATCTTTACAAGAAGGAAACAAAAAGTTTGCTCATTATGATAGAGTATTCAGAGAAAGACAAATTACTATTATTCTTTACGAGTTGCAAGCTTTAAAATAGACTTAAATGAATTAAAGTAAATGTGAAAGTTTTGAGTAGCAGAAGGAATGAAATGACTTAGAATTTATTAAAAATAAGTGGTTTTTGATTTGAGGTTAAATTATACGATTTTCGGAAGCACATCAAGCATGTGTTCAAATTTTATGAAAGTTCTCTATAGTTTTATATTATTCAATTTATGTTTGTTGCATTTCATTAGTAAATCTTCGTTGAGATAATGCAACGAAGCAGTTTTCTTATTTTCTTGAATAAGATTTTGAATTCACATTACATAGCATAATATTCAATAATTCTTCCCAAAATTACTTGCAAAAGAAAGACGAAGACATATACATAATGTGCATGCATACGTATGTGCAATATATATATATATATATATATATGAAATATGAAATTTGATATGTATAGGGGTTTCCAGAGATCATTTGTGTGAATTATATAAAAAGCTTGAAACGAAATATGATGAAAAAGAAAGAAAACGAGAAATATAAAAAACCATACGGATATTCGGATGTAAGGAATTGGAAGAAATGCTTGTGCTTGAAAACTGTTTACTTTAGTGTTGAACTCAAAGTTATTAAGGAGCAAAATAGAAGTGTTGATTAAGTATTGCCTCGAAAATGAATACATTGCTTAAATAAATAAGTATGCAATCATAAACTACAAAAGTTTATTTTGTATGTGCATGGGTTGGTTTGGAGAAGTCATTGTGACTATTCTTTGAGGTTTTTGTAAGCTTTTAAATTTTTGTATATTCTCTTAATAGTAATAATAAAATAATTACATTAAAAAAGGAACTAAAACTCAATTACTACGATTATTGATTTAGCTTCTTTTTAGTGCTTAATTAAGATATGTCGAAATTAAGTAATGTAATTGTATGCTAAAATATATATATATATAAATATAATAAAAAGGGAGAAAACGAAAAATTAAAGTGCCTTTTTTCACTTTGCGAGCACTCGCAAAATATAAATAAGTTACAAAAGGCGAATAGAGGAATTGGTACTAAATCTAAATTAAATATGAACATACAGCCAAATAAATGAGTTAATAACTAGGAGTAGAAAACTGGAAGAAGCATTATTCTCAGCTTAGTCGACTTGAACGGTTGTTGTTGAATTAATCGTAAGAAGAAGTTTCATTTTCACTTAAAGATTGTGATTTGTATATAGGTTTATATTGAGAACAACTTTTATAATTGCAAGTTGCTGTATTTATTTAAGGTTGGATATAATTGACTCCTGCGTTTGGGTTGTGAAGCGATATTACGTAATCGCTGCTTTATTTAGATATTGTTCACAGTTCTTCGTGATAGGTAATTCAAATACCGAAATTGGAAAGAAAGATTTTGAAGATCGCGTTTTTTGATGGATTTGGGGTTAGTCAGTAAATTTGGTAAACTTAAATTGAATGTAAGATTAGATCGTTTTTGCAGCTTTTTGTAATTACTGTACACATACGGGAAACTTTGGCTGTTCGTAACGTCGTTTTCGTGGCCAAGAATACTCTGACGAAATTATGAGTTGCACCGATCGGGTTCATTTTGGATACATTGACTACATGTGTTCGTTTCAGAAGGCACCTTATGAACTAATTGAGCCGGTTATTACACTCTAAGTATCTCTTGAATCAACTCAATTATGGCTATTTGTCCAAAGACTAGTTTAGGGATAGCGAACAAAATAAGTCAGTCTCCTTAAGTCTAGCACTCCTATCAGTTATGAAGGCACAGCAACTAAGCCTAAGAAAAAAAAAGTCAAATTGGAAAAAGATTTGTTTTGGTAATTACTAACGTATCTCCTTGGCTGCTGTAGCACAATTGAAGGGCAGTCTGTATAATCTGTTTTGTGTATTTCTCTTTTATAGCTGCTGTAACCATCAGTGTACCGTTATAATATTGCTTAGCTATGTTCGTGCCCGTTATAAGCTGGCAATTGAATTATTCTATGTATATTTTATAGCGAGTGCATTGGTCAGTAAAGTAAGTGGATTTCAGTAATGTGAAAGGATAAGTGGGTGTATTCTTATGTCTACATTATCAAAATTTAGGTACGCATATGAAACAATACATGATTTATGTAAAGAAGACCATATATGTTTCAAGTAATACGGAAGTTTCTCGATATAAAAATTAACTACGCAGTATATAGGCAAAACAGTTACCCAACAAAGAGATTTACATATATATGATCAAAAACAAAATAAGGCCCCTGTTATTTGTTGAAAGTGTCCAATTCTTAGTGGAAGAACATGCATATATAACATTTAACGAAAAAAATTAACTTAGAAACGTGTTTTCCGTCTTAGCTTTTCATTCCGTTTTTGCACCGACGGCTTACGGCGAGCATGGCAATGATCTTGTTACAGTTTGGTATGTATTGAGCCAATAAAGTGGGAAAACTGGTGTTTATGGGTGGCATTGTAAACAGGGAGAGTTTTTAAGGATATGGAAAGAAAATATGAAAGAAAAATTTGATAATCGGAAATTCTTTCCATACACAATCACGACAGGCGTCGCTGATATGTCTTCTTTGTAGTCCGATCTCAAAGTATTATCGGAGCTCGAACTGTTTGGTCGCGTTGCCTATAGTGGTGAAAGATGCTTTCAATTGCCTATGAGAACGTTCTGCAATGCCGATGAACCGTGGATGATACGAAGAAATCGTAAATCTGCAGCTATCCAATAATTGCGTCACCTCCGTGTGAGATTGGCACGTAAACTGTGCTCCCCTGTGATCGTTAGTTATTTTAACAGGAATGCCGAAACGTTAAACGTAGTCATTTAGAAACGTTAAGAGCGTCTCAATCACATAAGCTTCAACATCCCTCAGAGCATATGCTCCAGGCCAACGAAAAAAACTATCGTCGTCAAAATATAACGATGATCTGTCGGTAGCGACGACGGTTTAACCGGGCCCATGTTTATATGTACGAATATTCCCTTTGAGATAGGCGTTTGCTCAACAGGCGATTTGCAGGTGGCTCTTTAACTATTGACGGTTTATACACTGGCCGGAGCAGATGTTGAATTTCTTAGTCATACCTGCCCAAAAATACCTGGTTGTGGCGAGTAGCCGTGTAGATTTAGCACCTGGGTAAAATATACTATGTCTTTTTTAAAAATTATTTTTACTATCCTTATTTTCAAATGTTGTAACTCGTTATCAACTTGTTGCTCATTGATGAACATTTTTAGATTAAAATGCGTAGATGTTAGAGCACCGACTTCGAAAGTTCGTGAAATTCTACAATATTGTAGTCTCTGCACACGGATTGGGCTCCATTAGTCCATACGACGTGCCTGGGAAATTAGTAAAGTGTGTACCTTTAGAAAAATGTCAGGAATATTTGATGCTTAGATAGATCGCCAACCGTTGGCGATCAAATGTACTATCTTTATTCTCGGACTAAATGCGTTACTATTTCATTTAACACATCAGCCGTTAAAAATAATTCTGTCCCATTGATTTTTGATTCCGATTGATTTTACAAAGCTCTTGGAGAGAATGTATCTTTAATAAGTTCGAGATTTGGTAGTCTTTTTATCCCATATTACACGTTTATGTATAGATTTAACTGCTTTATTAATTATATCATGTTTCGAATAAGTAAGATCTACTAGTTCAGGAATATATCTGTGATGATAACTAATCAATTCTACAAACTTTTGACCTGGTTTAACAGATTTTGGACGATCAAAATTTAATGGTAGCTACGTTGCTCTGAAAAGCTCCGAATGCTTTCTTTAGAAATGTTGTGACAGAGAAAATCGATAGTTGATATTATGAAAGTACATTTATTAGGTTTAATGTTTCAACCGCACTCATCAAGCAGGTTAAACTTTAATTTTAAACGTTTTTAAGGAATTCTTACGAATTCGAACACACCGAAAGGCGTCGTTATAAGCGTCTTATAAATGTCTTCCCTAGCTGAAGACATTTGATTGCATGGTTTGATAAGATTCAAATTTGAAGAGACGGATTTATTTGGAAGGTTCCAGCTTACATTATAAATATCCGGCAAGGGATACAGATCGGCAATAGTAGCGCAATTTAATCGTCTGAAAGCTCGACAAGGTCGCAATTGGCCGTCTACACATGTTTTGGCGACTTTATATTTAATAGGGCCTAACTATCTAATTCCTGAGAAAGAAAGAACAGTTTCAGTCTTTAGCTTGTGAATTGTTTTTTATTTAATCTGGTTCTGATTCGTTTAGCTCCTTAACTTCAAAAGTTGGTTTTCTATTAAATATATTTTGTATTTGACAGCTATAGCTAACAAATAAATTAGCTAGTGCGTGTATAACGTTGAATAGTAGATCGTATTTGCTGAGGAAATCAG